CTTCTGCATAGTTTAAGGGCCCCCCCCCCCCCTCACACCTCCTGGGGATTTCTAATTTCAACACGGCAGCACGGAAATAAGTACTGGAAAACATAAAGGTCAAAACAAACAAATGACCACAGTTCACTGGGCATTTTACCCCTCTATCCACACACACACACACACACACACACACACACACCAAACACAGCTTACAGAGCTGCAGGGAACGGAGCAGGGGGCAGGGAGACGGAGTACGGAGCCAAGGGAGGGCTCACCCGGTGCGGACTCCACACTCGGACTTCCCAAGCACTGACCCTGAAGGGCACATCCGGGAACTCGGAGGAGGGTGTATGCCCGCACGATGCAATAAAGCGAACAGGGCTGTCTCTCACGTCAGTGGAATTTGTGAGGAGTGGGGAGAGACGTGGTTTCCAAGGAAGAGCACGTTTATCTTAATTCCTGCGAGTTAAGGGAACCCAGCGGCCTAGGAGGGTGTGGAGGCCTGGGGAGCCCCCATCGCGCCTCATTTGGACAGGCGTGCTCTCTCAGCCCTCCCAGAGGCCCCCTCACCTGGCCCTCAGCCTCGGGTGAGGCCAACAGCCCCCGGGCTGAGAAAAGAAGGAACAAAGAATCATCAAGAGGTTTCTAGCCAGGCCGGCGTAGCTCAGTAGTTGAGCCTCAACATGTGAACCAGAAGGTCATGGCTGGATTCCCGGTCAGGGCAGGAGGCAGCCGATCAATGACTCTCTCATTGATGTTTCTCTCTCTCCTCCTCCTCTCCCTTCCTGTCTCTGAAATCAACAGACAACAGGCCTTGGTTTAAGCAGGAAGTGAGGGCAGAGACCGGGCACGGAGTATGACAAGGCTGGAGTGGGCCAGAGCAGGGGATGGGGCAAGGCAAGCTGGATTTCAACAGACAGCGGCCTTCAGAGTCACACATGCTGCGTGCTGCGCCCCCTCTCAAGCCTGCTGATTGCTGCTGGCCTTGGAGCGGGGAACGCCACAGCTGAGGCTGGGGTGCACTCTAAAGCACGGAGTTTGCAAATCACAGCTGCTGCTGCATCATCATCATCATCATCATCATCCTGAGTTACTCAAAGGCCCCAGACCTTCAGTGGTTACTGACAGTCACCTAACTGCCCTGTCCCACCCCCGGGAACCCTGATTTTAAGTAACATGGACTTTAGGCATCTAATAGCAATCGTGATGGAGTTCTGTCCAGAAGCAGGAAACCTAAACTACCCAGCGCAGCAGAGAGCACGGGCCCTTCCTATGACCTCTGTCGGGAAGGCCCCCGGGCTGAGCCACAGTGAGGGTGTCAGCAGAGGAGCAGGGAGCCAGCTGCCGGCAGGAGCCCAGGCCAGGCCAGCCAGCCGGCCGGCCGGCCAGCAGACAGGGGTTCCAAAGGTCAAAGAGACAACACCTCAGTGCCCACTGCCCTCCCACTGCCACCCCGAGTCCTGGCCGCCAGGTCATTCACTCTGTCCGGGCAGGACAGGATCAGGAAGCAGCTGTCCCTGGCCTTGTCTCAGGCAGTAGAGATCCTTGAAATAAAACAGCCTTTGCTTGAAATAAAACGTGGGGAGGCCCGGTCGGCGCGGCTCCGTGGTTGAGCATCGAATCAGGAGGTCACGGTTCGATTCCTGGTCAGGGCACATGCCCAGGTTGTGGGCTCCATCCCCAGTAGAGAGTGTGCAGGAGGCAGCCGATCCATGCTTCTCTCATCATTGATGTTTGTTTGTTTTTTCTCTCTCTCCTCCTCCCTCTCTCCCTCTCTGAAATCAATATATTTTTAAAAAATAAAGAAAAGCACGCTTGCTAGGTTAACGCTCCCCTGCTGGAGAAAAGGGGTTCTCGGGCAGATGTGATTTGCTCAAATGCCTCTTGGAGACGGGCTATACTCAGGGGTGCCTGGCAGTCCCCGTGGATGGAGCCACAGGTGCAGTACTGACTTCTTCCCCACCATGTACTCCCCGTCGCACAGACTGTGCCACCAAGGCATGGGGCCAGCAGTCCCTAGGCCCGGCGGCCGCTGGGGCGGTCAGGAGAGTCGGGGTCTGTTTCTCTGGGGGTGAGCGCCAGAACCTCCCAGTCCATCTCAACCCCCAGAGGCGACAGGTGCAGGGATCAGGCGCCTTCCCCTAGCGGGCGCGCTGTTTACCTTCAGTTTTGCAGCGCCTGTCGGCCAGCCCAGCCACTGAAACCCGACCCGGGGGAGGGCCATCGGAGGCAGACAGGGGAAAGGCAGGTGGGCTAGGCAATGGCCCTGGACTCCCCTTACCTGTGGCTCCCCGGGCCGCCCCAGCCTCCATGCTCCGGCTCCGCGGTGCTGCGCCGCCCCCGCCTGCCCGACTTCCCCTCCCGCTGCTCCGCCTTCGCCCCCGCCCTGGGGCTGCCCCCGCTCTTTCCCCAGGGGTCCCCCACTCCCCAGCCCCTGCCCTGGAGCCGACACACCGCACACTCTTCCCGCTAGCTAGCCACACCCGGCTCCCAAGTTTTGCAAAGCTAGTTCGCCACCTGCAGAACTACTTAATTCCCCTTCATTCTTTAGAGAAGGATACCGTTCGTGCCCCCCCCCCCACTCGCCGGGTTCCGGGCACCCCCTCTCCGTGCCCCTTCCCACTTCCTCATATCTCTATAGATAAGAAACATTTGCATTCTCCCCTTTCGAAAATGTACACACTTGAAAAGTGAAAATTCACACACCTGAAAAATGAATGACACGTACAATAGGAAACACCCAGTAACATCACCGCAAAGTCTTGTTACCCTGACAAGCGTAGATTGCTGCTTTTGCTGATAGCCTCTCTTATTTATGAAGCTTACACTCGCTCGAAACAGAAAAATTCAGCAAGAGGCGATCGATCGCTCCTCCAGTATGACATCTTGGCCTGTTTCAAGGTGCCTTTTCACAGGGGAGGCAGGGAGCAGGGCTGGTTTTAAAATGCCGCCTGCCTTCGAACCCACAGGCCTGTGGTCGGTCAGCCGGTGCCCTGCTCACCCGCCCCTCCATTTGGTTGGCAGCTCTGAAGTTTGTGCTCCTGGACTGTGCCCCTCAAATGCATCCTAAGCCCCTTTGGGCCTCTGTCCCACGTGGACCCCAAACTCATCTGCCTGCCTCAGACAGGTTGCTCCCAAAATGGGGGAGCAGCTGGGAGCCCCTCACCCCCAGCCACTGTTTGCTGGCGGAGGAGGGCGTTTTGTGAAAACCTGTGAGGACTTTGACAAGAGGCAGGTTGGCTCCAATTCTGTTACGGTAATAAGTAACTGACCTGGGAGCAGTGATGTCTGACACAGGGAAGAGCTATTACTATTATTTTATTTACTTTAAAAAATGTGCTTTTACTGATTTTTAGAGAGGGGAAGGAAGAGAGGCCTCCTGCACACCCCACACTGGGGATCAACCCCGAAACCCAGGCATGTGCCCTGATTGGGCATCATATGTGACCTCCTGTGTTCCTAGGTCGACACCCAACCACTGAGCCACACCAGCTGGGCTTCTTGGGGCGTGGTAAGTTAACGCGAGGAATTGCCAGTTACCACAGCAGACCTCGTTAGCTAGAATTTGACCCTCAAGGCTGCCAACTTTACAAACGTGGGCATTGCTAGTGGCCTAATCTTGTTTACAGCTCTGGCGGAGCTGGGCAAGAGTCGTGAACTTGGGGAGCCATCGTTCATTAGAAGGGGGTTCAGATGCCACCGGGAATGCCAGAGGGAGTTTGAGAAACCAGGGCACCGCTTTCCGATCTGAATTGGGGCACAGCATTCCCTGCAGACCAAGGAGGCCCGGCCTCTCTGAGCAGCCCGGGAGGCCCCGGGGTCAGACGCCACTTCCCGTCCGTCCGTCCGTCCGTCCGTCCTCTGCAAACAGCCGCAGCCCACACCGGGGGCCAATGAGAGGGAATGGCTGGGGCTCAGCACCCCAGAAGGCTTCAGGTGGAGCCCAGCCCCGGGTCCCATTGGGGGGGGGGGCTATTCTTAGCAAGGGGACCACGTGGCCACGCCCTCTAACCCAGGGCATGTGGGGAAGCTTCCGGGGCCTGGGGGAGCCCCGGGGCTCCCCCTGGCTACACCCAGATGGGGAAAAAGAATTGTATTTCTTTGTAGCTCATATCAATCAGCTTTAAAAAAAAAAAAAAAGTAGTTTTAGTTTTATGAAAAGATGCTTTTGTGCTTATTTTCTATTAAACCTAATGGTTTGTGAACGTGCCTTAGGACCCACAGCTTATAGGCAATGGGGCTTCAAGCAACACTACTAATCATAACCATCATCTGGGGCTTGGTTTTTCTTTCTTTTTTTTTTATTATTATTATTTTTATTTTATTGATCTTTTACAGAAAGGAAGGAAGAGAGAGTGAGTTAGAAACATTGATCAGCTGCCTCCTGCACACCTCCCACTGGAGATGTGCCTGCAACCAAGGCACATGGCCCTGACCGGAATCGAACCCGGGGCCCTTCAGGCCGCAAGCAGACGCTCTATCCACTGAGCCAAACCGGTCAGGGCTTCTTTCATTGTTTTCTTAACATATTTTGCAGAATCGGTTTCAAGAGCGACCTCATCCAGTCCTAATGGCCAGACACGAGCACTCTGGGGCAGGTGGGGGATGACTGAGGCAGAGGAAACCTGACCGAGAAACTTGTAGGGTCACCCACCTTTATGCTTTGTACCCATTTCAGTCCATTTTAGTCCTGTCCCTCCTCCCCCCCATAATCCCAGAAACCCCTCAGTCCTGGCAAAGCAGGACAGACAGTTGCCAACCTCCCCTTTGGATCCTACAAGCAGCAAACTGGCCCAGACCCAGTGGCCAGCAAGTCCCAGATGGCTCCGCCTCTGCCGCCTGAGCTGGCTTTCCGCTTTCAAGGGCGTCGTCTTACCGCCCTCCCCCGCCCCAGAGTCTTCAGGCTTTAGGGGCCCCAGAATGCTGAGATCCCCCTAAAGGAGCAGGAGGTTGGTGGCCCTGTGGGGGGGGGGGGGGGCACCCAGTGCCCGGGCTGCGTCACTGCCACCTGACACCCTCCCCACTCCGGTTTCATGGAGCCTCAGCCCAGCTGCGTGGTGGTGACCGGTAAGCCTGTCTGTCTGCTTCCCCGTGTGCTGCTGCCTATAGCCTGGCCCCGATTCTGGTCACAACCGGTTCCCGGTGGAGATAAGGGTGCGGCTGACAGCGGCGCCAGTAAACTCCAGAAGGAAGCTGACCCCCAGCTCTGCCTGTTCGGAACCGTCAGCGGACAGAGAGGCGTTTGCATTCGGTCCTGCTGTTCGCCACAAATAGCTCCTGAATGGCAGCCGCGTAAGCGCCCACCTGTGGCCGAGGCCCGGACCTTGACCTTGAGCCCATCAGGGAGGAAGCCAGTGGGCCCAGGGGGCATCTGCCGGAGTGCAGCTTCTCAGCCAGGAAGGAGGAGCTGGGGGTCCCGGGAAGGGCAGGGCCTCATAAAGCTGGGGCAGTCCACCTGCAGTGACCACCCCCAAAGGTGCCTTCCACCCCCACCCCCAGACCAGAGAGAGAGCTTCAGACCCCTCAGAAAACCACGAGGCGCCCTGAGCCACCAGTTGAAGACTTTGAACCCAAAAGGCTACCTAGGAAGGGATGGTAGCTGCCCACTCCTGCCCAAATGCACCCAGCACACCCCAAATCCACCCCAGCCCCCCAAGTCATTGTTGCAGCTGCGCTCCTGGAGGGTTTGTTTTGTGGGGTTGTTGTATTTTTTTGTTTGTTTGTTTGTTTTTAATCCAAAGATATCTTTCCATTGGTTTTTATTTTGGTGGTGGTGGTGCTGTTTGTCCTTACCCAAGGATATTTTTCCATTGGTTTTTAGAGGGAGTACAAGGTAGGGAGGGTGAGAGAGAGAGAGAGAGAAACATCGATGAGAGAGGCAACACTGATTGGCTGCCTCCTGTATGTGCCCCGATCAAGTCTGGGGATCGAGCCTGCAACCCTGGTACATGCCCCTGACCAGAATCGAACCCGGGACCCCTCAGTCCGCAGGCTGACGCTCTATCCACTGAGCCAGACTGGTGGAGGCGAGGGTTTGATTTCTCGACAAAGCTCTTTTCTTTTTGACTGGCACGTGGTAAGTGCTTGGGACTGTGTTGGCTGAAGGCGACAGAGGCCAGACAAGGAGTCCTCTGTGTGTGGCAAATCACGAGTTACCTGTCACAGCATTTCCAGGCGATCATCAAACTCCTCGCAACCTTGTGAGTGAAAGGACGTTCTTTTTGAGAACCCTTCTTCTCCCCTGCTCTCACCGTGGCATTCTGGGTACGGAGATTGAGGGGATCCAGTTACCCTTGAATTCCTAGGGAAAACTATACCTCTGGCAAATGAGTGCCTGTCACCAATCAGCTCTGAGTGCCGAAGCGCCTGGGCAGGTCTCAAGACTCACGAGGACCCGTGTGCTGGCCAACCCGAGCCTGTTTGCCGAGGGGCCTGTCAGCCGGCGGTGGCTCCCGGGGTGGCCGGCCTTTTATTAAAAACGCGGAGCTGCCGGGACCGGTTTGGCTCAGTGGATAGAGCGTCGGCCTGCGGACTGAAAGGTCCCGGGTTCGATTCCGCTCAAGGGCATGTACCTTGGTTGCGGGCATATCCCCAGTCGGGGGTGTGCAAGAGGCAGCTGATTGGTGACTCTCTAACATCGATGTTTCTAACTCTCTCTCTCCCTTCCTCTCTGTACAAAATCAATAAAATATATTTAAAAAACAAAAACAAAAAAACAAAAACAAAAACAAACAAAGAAAAATACGGGGAGCTGCCAGGGACGGTCTGTGCCTTTCATTGGATTTGCTTCCCGTGTGAACCTGGCTGAGACCATTGGCATGGAGACCGATGATGGGAAAACAAGGGCCCAAGATCAAGGCGTCTTTGCCCGGCAGGCGTGGCTCGGTGGTTGAGCGTCGACCTAGGAACCAGGAGGTCACAGTTCGGTTCCCAGTCCGAGCACAGGCCCGGGTTGCGGGCTCGATCCCCAGTAGGGGGCGTGCAGGAGGCAGCCGATCCATGATTCTCTCTCATCAGTTTTGTTTTTTTTTCCCCCCTCTCTCTCCCTCTCCCTTCCTCTCTGAAATCAATATAGGTATATATTAGGAGGACAATGCCTCACGTTCTGTGACGCACGCTCCAAGGAAGGGATGTGGGGGTCCCAGGGGCCCCACGATGGCTCGGGGAGCAGCCCGGGAGGAGAGACACCCCACCTCGCCCCCCACCACCTGAGGCCTGGCCTGAGCAAACCAGAACCTCCTCCGTTTCAGGGTTCGGGCCCTTCCGGCAGCACCTGGTGAATTCCAGCTGGGAAGCAGTGAAGGTAACCCCCTGGCAGGCCCAGACCTGGGCACCTGAGGGCAGGGCCCTGGAGGAGGCATGGCCTCTGGGCCTCGGGTGGGTCCTCGCCTGCCCCAGGTGGCCCGTTAGGCTGTGTGGCCGGCGTGGCTCAGGGGTTGAGCATTGATCTATGAACCAGGAGACCACGGTTTGATTCCCATCAGGGCACCTGCCTGGGTTGGGAACTTGGTCCCCATGAGGGGGGGAGGGGGGGGGGGGGGGGGAAGGGAGCATGTAGGAGGCAGCCAATCAACCATTTTCTCTCATTATTGAGGTTTCTTTCTTTCTTTCTTTCTAAATATATATTTTATTGATTTTTTACAGAGAGGAAGGGAGAGAGATAGAGAGTTAGAAACATCGATGAGAGACATTGATCAGCTACCTCTTGCACGCCCCCTACTGGGGATGTGCCCGCAACCAAGGTCCATGCCCCTGGCCGGAATCGAACCCGGGACTCTTCAGTCCGCAGGCTGATGCTCTATCCACTGAGCCAAACCAGTTTCGGCTCATCACTGAGGTTTCTATCTCCTTCTCCCTCCCCCGTCCTCTCTGAAATCAGTAAAAGCGTTGTTTGTTTGTTTTTTAAGTGGTTTCCAGGAAAGCTGGTTGCTACAGGAGAGGTCCCTGTACACAACAGAGAGAAGTAGGGGTCGGGGGGGGGGGGGTGGTCTCATTTTGTCCTCAGGCTGGTTATTATCATCTCAGGCCTTCTCATATGAACAAGAACACAAAAACAAAACCCACTGTGGGCTTACTCACTAGCTCCGACCAGCGATCGAACCCAAAACCTAGGTATACGCCCCGACCCGGAACCGAACCCAGCACCTTTTAGGTTTTGGGGTATGGGACGCTGCTCCAACTGACGGAGCTACATGGGCCGGGGCCGCCTGCCTCTCTCCACAGGAGCTCTCCAAGCTGGGCCTGGGGAGGGACGCGGAGGTGGAGCTGCAGACGCTTCAGCTGCCGGTGGATTACAGGGAGGTGAAGCGGAGGGTCACCAGGATCTGGGAAGACCTGCAACCGCAAGTAAATGGCGGCTGGGGAGCCAGTGGCGGGGGGGGGGGGGGGGGGGGGGGCGCGGAATTGCTGATGATGAGATGGGGAGCCCCAGAGCCTGTGAACCCCTGGACCTCCCCGGTTCTAGAGTTGATGGCTTAAGTGGACCCAAGCCCTGCATCTTACCAGCACCATCCCAGGGTTGTTTTTTTTTTTATAAGGTTCTGAGCCTGCTTCTAAAAAAAGCTTAAGCTGTAATAAATGCAGCGCGGCTGGTGTGGCCCAGTGGTTGGGCGCCGATCTATGAACCAGGAGGTCAAGGTACGATTCCCAGCCAGGGCACAAGTGAGGGTTGTGGGCTCCATCCGCAGTAAGGGGGCATGCAGGAGGCAGCCAATCAGTTTCCCCCTCTCTCTCTCTCTCTCTCTCTCTCTCTCTCTCTCTCTCTCTCTTCCTTCGTCTCTCAAATCCTACATAATAAAAGCCTAATATGCTGTGTCCAGTTGTCCAACTGTTCATTCAACCATCAAAGCATAACATGCTAATGATATGTATGCTATGGCTGCTCAACTGCTTGCTGTGACGTGCTCTGACCACCAGGGGGCAGATGCTCCAACCTGCACGTTAGCTTGCTACTGAGTGAGATGGGTACACGCCCTGGAGCCCTCCTGGGGTCCCTCCCTGGCCCCGATTGTGCACGGGTGGGGTCCCCTGGCCTGGCCTGCACCCTCTTGAAATCCAGGACCCCTCAGGGGATCCCGCAGGCCAGGCCAAGGGACCCCACTGGTTCATGAATTCATGCACTGGGCCTCGAGGGCAAATACCCCGCACATACAGAGCCCAGACCACGAGAGGAGCACAACATACACCCGCGCCCTATGAACACAGCGCCCCAAAGGCTCCCGCAGCTCCCTGAGCTGTGTTCCCCGGAGGAAGACCAACCAGTTCAAGAAACACTAACAATACTTGGCTCAGCGACCCATTTCCTGTGTCAGCGGTGCCCAGGCAACGCGGGGCGTCCCCTGTGGTCCCAGAGTGCAGCTGGACCTCCCGCGGGGGACCCCGACGAATATTCCACCCCTGGGTAGGAACACTTATTTATTTTACTTTTTGAAATATATATCGATATTTTATTAGTTTTTTTGCAGAGAGGAAAGGAAAGGGATAGAGAGTTAGAAACATCGATGAGAGAGAATCATCGATCAGCTGCCTCCTGCACGCCCCCCACTGGGGATGTGCCCGCAACCAAGGTGCATGCCCTTGACCGGAATCGAACCTGGCACCTTTTTAAAATATATATATATTTATTTTATATTTTATTTTATTTTATTTTATTTTTACAGAGAGGCAGAGAGAAGGATAGAGAGTTAGAAACATCAATGAGAGAAAGACATGCCCTTGACCAGAATCGAACCCGGGACCTTTTTAAAATATATATATTGTATATTTATATTTTATTATTTTATTTTATTTTATTTTATTTTTACAGAGAGGAAGAGAGAGGGAAAGAGAGTTAGAAACATCAATGAGAGAAAGACATGCCCTTGACCAGAATCGAACCCGGGACCCTTCAGTCCGCAGGCCGACGCTCTATCCACTGAGCCACACCGGTTCTGGCAGGAACATTTTAAAAATACAAAAGCATTTACACAGACGACGCCTCACGGTTTTCCATCCGGCGGCTTTCCCGCGCGCGCGCGGCGGCCTAGGCATGAGGGGGACGCAGTCGCCGTCTGAGAGGATTTTTCCCCGCCTCGCACTCGCACTCACCCCCGGCTGGGCCTTCCGGGAAGACCGGGACAGGCAGGCCTCAGTTTCCCTAAACGTTCCCGCGTTCCCACAGCTCGCCGTGCACGTGGGCGTGGACGGCGCCGCCAGGGCCGTGGTGCTCGAGCAGCGCGGCCGGAACCGCTGCTATCGCGAGACCGACGTGCGTGGCTTCCGGCCCGAGCGCGGCGGCGCGTGCGTCCCCGGCGGCCCGGAAGTGATTGAGTCGCGGGTCAACATGAAGGCGGTCAGCAGGCGCGCGGCGGTGGAGGGCGTGGAGGTGCTGGTTTCCCGCGACGCGGGCAGGTGCGTCGCGACACAGATCGGGAAAGGCAGGATAACCCATCTTTTTTTTATTTTTCTTTTTTTTATTTTTAATATATATATATTTTATTGATTTTTTTAAGAGAGGAAAGGAGAGAGTTAGAAACATGGATAGGGGGATGTGCCCGCAACCAAGGTACATGCCCTTGACCAGGATCGAACACGGGACCCCTCAGTCCACAGGCCGACGCTCTATCTACTGAGCCAAACCGGTTTCGGCTCTTTTCTTTCTTTTTTTTTAAATATATTTTATTGATTTTTTTACAGAGAGAGGGATAGAGAGTTAGAAACATCGATGAGAGAGAAACATCGATCAGCTGCCTCTTGTGCACCTTGTACTGTGGATGTGCCCGCAACCAAGGCACATGCCCTTGACCAGGATCTAACACGGGACCCTTCAGTCCACAGGCCGACGCTCTGTCCACTGAGCCACACCGGTTTGGGCTCTTTTCCTTTCTGTATAAATATATTTTCATTGATTTCGGAGAGGAAGGGAGACGGAGACGGAGAGAATCATGGATCGGCTGCCTCCTGCAGGCCGCCCACTGGGGATCATGCCTGCAAACCCCGGTGTGGGGGCTTATGCCCTGACCAGGAATGGAACAGTGACCCCCTTGGTTCACAGGTTGAGGCTCAACCACTGAGCTACACCAACGGGCCTGACCCATCTGTCTGCTAGGATGTCTCCCTTCAAAAAGGCAAAAGGACAGAACCTCCGCCTCCCCCCTGGGTGGCCGTCCTCCCTCCTCGCGTGCTGGCGATGATGCCAGGGCACCTCCGCTGCTTGCCTTCCTTTCCCTGGCCCCAGGAGTCACGTGGGGTCCCCTGCCTGCCGTTGCAGATACGTGTGCGATTACACCTACTACCTGTCTCTGCATCTCGGGGATGGGCGTGCGGCGCTCATCCACGTGCCCCCGCTGTCTCCGGGGCTCCCCGCCAGCCTGCTGGGAAAGGCCCTGCAAGTCATCATCCGGGAGATGCTGGAGGAGGGTGAGCCCGCCCACGGCCAAGGCCTGGTGCCCAGGAAACGGGCCTCGGGGAGAACCGACTGGGGCTCCGAGCTTTTGGAGAAAGTGGGATGTTTCAGTCCCGTGTGGAGAGTTCCGCTAGCTGTGCTTTGAGAGGCTTTTAAAAATTTGCTGATCGCACCGTTTCCACAGAGGGACACGTTCCAAATTAGCCCCACGAAGTCACAGTTTTTATTTTTTTTAATTTAAAAATACATTTTATTGGTTTTTTTTTTTTAACAGAGAGGGAGAGGGATAGGGAGTTAGAAACACTGATAAAAGGACATAATGCAGCTCAAAGACACGGTGTTAGCCTATCCAAAGCCAGCAAATGGGGGTGGGCTGGTCTGGCCAGAACAGTTGTGAATGTGCAGAGCCTTCTGTGTTTGTAGATAAACCCTGCTCCCAGCCCCATCAAGGCGCTCAGGACAGTGGCAGGCAGGGGCCTCGGGTCCGGCTCCTGGGTTATTTCACATCGCTTGGCACCGAGCCACACACGTGTCAGCAGCTCTTAGATGAGATTCTCTGAGGGACGCCCAGAGCTCCCTCATAATGAATGTGTCATGTCCCTGCCTCACGGCCCCAGAGGCCACATCCTGGGCAGAGCGGCCTTGCACTTCACTCCCCCTCCCGGATGCACCCCGGGGCCTGTTTAGTTATGAACAGTGCGGCAGATCAGAGTCGGTTTGAATGCTGCAACGGGAAAGGCTGAGCCTTGGATTGGTCCTTGAGTAGCTGGGGGGGCAGGTCTTGGGTGTGCTCACCTCTAAAACGAATCAAAACCCCTCCCCTGCAGAGCTGTTGCAGAGATGCAGTGAGAGACTGGAGGCGGTGGTCCCTCAGTGATGGGAGGCCACCAGGTTGCTGCTGGACCCGCGGGGATAAGAAGAGAATCGGCCCAGCTGGACCCGAGGTCTTAGGAAGTGGCCCGGTGGGGACAGATCTTCTGAAGACCCAGCGCCTTCCCAGCAGCCCCGGAGGCAGCAGGAACCCACCGGGGACGTGGGAGAGGCGCGCCGGCCGCCTGTGTCCCCCCTGCCCACAGCCCAGGCATCCCCGTAGCCTTGGAAACGAGCCTGCCTTCATCATTGGCCATCTAGTAACGCCAATGGTGAGCAAAATCCCAGGGACACCACCAAGCTTGAGTGTTTTATTTTTTTGTTGATCCTCTCCCATAGGTATTTTCCCATTGATTTTTAAAGAGAATGGAAGGGAGGAGAGAGAGAAACATCGAGGTGAAAGACACACATTGATGGGCTGCCTCCTGCACGGCCCCAACTGCGTGTGCCCTGACCGGGAATCGAACCGTGACCTCCTGGTTCATAGGCTGACGTTCAACCACTGAGCCATGCTGGCCGGGCACAGCCGGTTTGCACGAAATGTATGTTCACGTTTCCCACCGTGACCATTTCCCTGGCAGAGATAACACTGTCTAGGCTGTAGTCCTCGGGGCTGGCTGAGATCAGGAACTTGTAAGGAGCGAACATTTGTGAACACCTCCCGGGAGCCACATCCTAGGAGTGCGAACTCGGTTCTCCCTGCCCCCCTCTGAGTAGGTGTGCTGGCTGTGAGGTGCCAATGATGCTATGGCCCCCCCAGATCAAGCTGCCCCCCTTGGCCTGACTCGTGTCTCTGGAAGGTGTAAGAAAAATCTACAGATCAGTGGAAACTGGAGTACAGATTTCTGTATTTTAGGCATTCAGATTTTCTCGTAGCTGATTTAATGGAGTGAGAAACAATTTGCATGCTGTGAGGGTTCAGCTGTCAGAAATAAAACCTTCACGCTGAACACCTCCAAGCAACATGTGTGAACACGCATGCCACACGGTGCCCCTGCCTCAGAAGCATGGTGAGCCTTGCACGGAGGCGCGAACAAAATGGAGACCGGAAATGCATACTGAATTCCTTTATTGAACGTAAACCATGTAATACTTGAACTATTAGAAAAAAGCAGAGTAAGATAAACTAAAATCGCGTTAGCATCAGCCATTCAAAATAGACAAAGTTTCTTTTTCCCCCCCCCGTAATGTAAAGAATCCAGAGTATATCGCGATAACAGGGATAAATTCTTACAATGGAGTATACAAAACCATTTTGAAATTTTTTTTTTTAGCTACTGATTTTTTTGTATATAAACAGAGGAAGTTTTTACGAATAATCTGTCCACAGAAAGTCGTTTTACGTAACAAATTAGTTGTGTTTAATTATTGGTTCTTAAAAACTTTTTTAAAAACTTTTCATTTTTTTAAACAAGAAAACTTGGAAAATAAATGATCTGCAATACATCCATCCCATCGCGCCTTCTGGTCTGATTTTGTTTTTTAACATTTTTTTTCCCTAGAGGACAAACTCTGGCAAACCTCACGCGTCAACCTCACTGGCTTAGAAAGCACACGGGTGTTTTTGCCAAACATCTATCCCACCTGTGGATGCGTCTAAGCAACACCCGAATGCCAAGTTGCAAACAGAAAAATACTGTTATCTGGACCTTTCTCCCATGTTGTGCAAAACACCCCATTCCCAATGGTGGGGCTTTCGTGGCATCGTGTAGACGTGGCCCATGACCCACTGGGCGCAAGAGGAAATGGAGTCAGACTTTTAAAAAACTGTATGTGTATGTGTGTGTGTGTTTTTATTCAAAAGAACTTTGTTTTGTCTTGGGGGGAAAAAATGTATCTTCGGTGTTGTGCCTTAAAAAATAAGAGAGCCTCTGGTTATATAACAAAGTGTCCATCATAACAGGAGGCATGGAAGCAAACAGTCCGCCCGCACCAGAATCACCGTCTTCCGTGTTGTCTGCGTGAGTGCGGCGAGCACTGTGACGCCAGGAGCTGTGCTGTCAGCAGCTCCATCGCGAGGCATCCCGCAACCATGGCAACAGCCGCACCAGATGCCCAGTGCCGGGGCCGGGCACCGCTGGGCGGCAGCATCTTGGCCAGTGAGGTTCCTTCAGTCTCTTAAAGTAGCTACACTCCAAAGATCAATGACCAGCAAACGATGATTCCCCTTCCCAACCAGAAGGTTCAGGAAGACCAAGATACTGAAGGTACAAAACTACTGAAATTGCCACCATTCCTCCACTATATAAACTAGGACATGAACCGTGTGTGTGTGTGTGTGTGTGTGTAGGGGTGTAAAAGAATTATGCAGGGCTTGGGGGCAGGGGGAAATGCATTTTTGGCATCTCGTCAAGCTAGCTAGTAAACAGGTGTCCTATTAAAAAAAAAAAACAACACAAAATAAATGGATTACGAGCATACATTTGCAAAAAAAACCCAAGTGTCCTTAAATTATTTCGGCGGTTACGGACTACAGACTTGTTGTATAAAATTATTCTATGTCCTTACAAAAATGCAATGAAACGTTGAATTAGTTCCTGTAAACCAGATCTTCGTCGACTGACTACCCGTATCTACTGGACATGAGAGCCCTACTGAAAATGCTAATGTGTGAGTAATCAAAACGATGCTGACCGGAAAAATGAGGACACACACAAACGTGGCCATACGAATGAGTAATTAAAAAAAAACAACAACAAAAAAATATAGATGAGTCATCAAAAAACAACAACAAAAAGTATAGATGAGTAATCAAAAAAGTATAGATGAGTAATCAAAAAACCATCAAAAAAAGTATAGATGAGTAATCAAAAACAAAATTATAGATGAGTAATCAAAAAAACCAACAAGAAATATAGATGAGTAATCAAAAAAAATTATAGATGAGTAATCAAAAAAAACAAAAAAATATAGATGAGTAATCAAAAAAAACAACACAAAAATATAGATGAGTAATCAATATTCTTGCTTAAACAAAAAGAAAACAAAACCCTATAAAGTCATGCCCCAGAACCGACCACTGACGGGCGTGATGGAGTCAGTGTCCTCAGACAAGTCCTAGTCCCCAACCACCGTGTGGCGCTGGGGTGGCTGTTGAAGACGAATGCCCACGGATGACTCCGAGTCTGGACGTGGTCCGACGTGGTCATTCCAAGAAACCATCCATTTCCTCGCGCGGCCCGCACTTCCTCCAGGCCCTGGGCCCTTGTGCTCAGCGATGCTTCTCTCCGATCCTTCTCTCCGAGTCCCGCCAGGACCTCCCGCCGGCTCTCCCCGCCATCTTTGAGTGTCCACCCGCTTTTTCTCCGAGGGACCAGCTCTGCCATCTGAGCCGGGGGTGGGGGGCCAGGCGTGACCACGCCCCCCCCTGGCCTGTCCTCTGTGTCTTCAGCATCTCCGGCGGCAACAGAGAGGTTCGGTCCAAAGGTCCAAAAAAAAAAAACGACAACCTTTCTCGTTCTCATTCTTCAGAAGAGGGGGTGTCTGGTCGGGGGTCTCCCAGCGGGAGACGGAGCCACAGACAGCCGATGCGCACAGAGGCAATATGGACCCGGGGAACAGGCCCCAGGCCTTAGGTGCGCCCCTGGGACTGGGCCCAGGCGGGGCGCGGAGGGCTCCTGCCCACCGGGGGGCGGGGTGGGGGGGAGCCCTCTGACTTGGGAAGGACCTTCCTTCCATCCTCTGGCCACTCGGGGACAGCGAGCTGGACCGTGCATTCTCGCCTTCTCGCCCCTTGAACCCCCGAGACCTCGCCACGGAGTGCGGCCCGCGTGCGCTGCCGAGAAAGGCGTCGGTGGGACCAACAGGCCCAGGATTTGGCACCTGGGCTCGGCCGGGGGATGCGTGGCGCCGGCCAACACACAGCCACCAGTTCACGCCAAGCATCTCGCCGCTGGGCGGTTCCACCATCGCCACTCTTTTCCTCCTTTTTCCCCCCACGATCTTGGACACCTTATTTACGCCGCGAGTTAACGGGCTGGAAGGGGAGGCTGGTGTTGGCCGTGATCCCCCTTCTCTCTTCTTCCTCCTCCTCCTCCGAGGAAGCTCATCTCAACGGTGTCCAACGTCACGACACCCCCCGAAGGAGACCTGGGCAGCCGGCCGGGGTCTTGACCTTGACCTTGACCTTGCAGGCGTCTCCAGAACATCGCGGCCTGGGCCTTGGCGAGCGCTCAGCTCGGCTCCGTGACGCATCTGAGCGCTTTGAGCAGCAGGAGAGCTGCTGTCGGGGGTGGAGGTCGCAGTCCGGCTCGAGTGGATTATTCGGAGCGTAAGAAACAGGATAAAAAAAAAAAAATAAAACAACAAAATCAAGGGGGAGACGGGGCCCCAGCCTGGCGGCGGGCCCCGGGCGCTCGGTCCAGTAGGATGACCGCACCCTCCCAGCAAGCGTTTATCTAACGGACGCGCGCTACTGCCCCTACGCCTACGCTTTAGTGTTTGCTTTCTACTCAGAGGAAAACCACCGACGTCAAACAGTAACAGAACCACACCGACGGAAAACTCAAAAAAAACAAAAACAAAAAAACTCGGAAAACGATGGAACGAAAAGAGAAAAACCCTTGGGACTGGCTGGGCGGACCGGGCGGGCGCCCCAGTCGCGTGGAAACCGGAAGGTTATGTGCAAAAGTGGGGGGAGGCCACCGCCCAGGGGTCCCCCGGCAGCGTGTGTGGGCGAGGGGAACCCCCCATCAGATAGCGTCTGTCGGTGAGCCTCGAGGGTCCCAAGGGCATGGGGAAGAGGGGAGGGGTGTCCCTGCAGGGACAGGAGAGCTGTCCCCGCTGATCCCCCTGTGGGCTGCGTCACCCACGTCACATCACCAGGGCCTGAGAGCAGCTGCTGGAACCGGGTCGCGCCGTCCGCCACCCCCCGTCATGAGCAGTGGAGGGACCGGGGGACAGAGAGGCAAGGCCTGGTGGGAGGTGCGACACCCCCACACCCCAGAAAGGAGGCTTGGCGCCTAGCACCACCCCCCCCTCCAGCCCGAAGGCTTGGTACATCTTTTGTCTTCCCCTGGAAAGGGGAGGAGAAAAGGAGGGAGGGGGAAATTCAGAGAACATTCTGGAGACGGGGGACGTGGGGGGGAACTCTTCTCCACAGAACATTCTGGAAGGGATTGGCTGGGAGGTAGGGACCTCCTATTCTCGACAGGAGGCCGGGCGGAGGGGGCTCTTAAAAGAGTGCCTGGCACAGGAACCCCGTCCGCCTGGGGCAGCCAGAGTGGCGCCCCATGGAGCCCACCCACCCCTGAGCCTGGCAGGGATGGGCGCTAACGGAGACGGCCGCTCCCGGCCGCCTCCTGCCCTCTAGATCCCGAAACCGCCGCCCGAAGGGGCTCGCCGTTCTGTCTGCACAGAGCAGCTGGGTTCAAGGACAACCGGCTGGGGCAGCCGACGGGCCTTCCTTCCCACTGAGCGTGGGGTGAGGAGGGGACGTGTCCTCACCTCCCTGCCGAGTGGGGGACACTGGGCCAAGATGGAGGGGAAATCCTGACACCTCACAACCTCGTAGGGAACCGAGTCAGAAGAAGAAGAAGAAGAAAGCAAGGCCAAGAGGAGACAGCCGAGGAAGAGGCAAGCCGTCAGAGAGGAGCGGAGAGGCGGAGAGAGCGAAGCTGAGGCCCCCGGATGCAGCCCGGCCCGGCCTGGCCCCGGGTCACGGTCACGGGCGGGCGCGGCCTGTGTGTGGATGAGGTACCGGTCACCCATGGCGTATTGTCAGGCGCTGAGACACGTGAGATGTATTCTTTGTTGTTATATACACATAAAAAAAAGAAGTGTGAGGTAGATACATGTTTGGGGAAAAAAAAAAAAAAAAAAAAAAAACACCCCCCAAAAATCAAAAACTCAAAAAACTGTCCCTTCTTCTTTCACACATAAACCCTCGTGTCGGGATGGCGGTCCATCAGGGGGCTGCGCTTCTCGAACCACGACGGAAACCGGAATCGGAAAATCAACGGAAACTCCTGCACGCACCTTCTCCACGAACCTCTCTCTCTGACTCAGTTTCTAAAGGGATCAACTGGGGGGAAATGGGGCTCAAGACAATTCTGGGGCTGAAACGACTCCTCCTCCTCCTCCTCCTCCTCCTCCTCCTCCTCCTCCTCGTTTCATCTCCAATGGCGACTAGCAGTCGCCCTGTCTGAGCTCCCGCTCTCACTCGGCATCTAAACTTTGTTTCCATCCCAGCAGCAACTGTGTGTGGTCGTCGAGCCATCGCGCTGGTGAGAAAGCGCTCAAAACAAAAAACAAAACAAAACCGAAATAAAAGACCCCGAGGCTCAGGGATACCTGTGCCAGCGCCCTGGTCCCCTGGAGCCAGCACGGGGGGGGGGGGGGGGGTGTCCCTGGGGATTTCCTGGTTCTCAGGACAGGTAGGTCGGTCTGGAAGGTGGCGGCGGCGGCAGGAACACCGCCGACCACACTCCACTGCACCCTTAAGATTTAGCAGCTGTTTTTCGAAGGACGGAAGGATTAAATATCCACTAAAAAAAAAAAAAAAAAAAAAAAAAAATCACAAAAAAACCCCACAATGTAATTCAAATGACTAGCATCTGCAGTTCAAACTGCTGTTGTACCCAAGAATTAAAAAAAGAAAGAAAGTGTGTCACATCCAAAAGGAAGACGGCCAGGGAAAGGAGGGAGGCTCCTTCCTCCCCACGGCCACGAGGAACACTGAACAGGCGTGGGAAGTACTTGACCTTGGATTCTGACCTGAGGTTGTCTACGGCTTTGCACAGGGTCAGAGGCTGCAATGCCGGGCGCGAGGGCGGGCGAGGGGAACCCCTTTCCAGCCGCCTCCCTCGCCGGCCTGGTGCCCACAGAGCTTACAGGTTGTAACAGATCTGGCAGGGGGCCAAGGGGAGCAGAGCGCGGGGGGAGTAGAGAATTATAAAAAAAGGCATCAGAGGCAGCTCGCGGCAAAGGCCGATCTACGAGAGTCCGTTCCTAGAGAGAGAGAGAGAGAGAGAGAGAAGCAGCGCATCTAGTCCAAAGCGTCAGCTCTGCAAAGAACGCAGAGAAGGGAGAGAGGGAAACCTGAAAGTTTTCATAGAATAGATCCACAAAGATAACCAAAAAAATAAAAAATAAAAAACAAAAATAGCAGCCGTCTTTGTTTTCTGTACAAGGACGTGTATCGATGAGTTATCTGAACCGTAAAAAAAGTTATCCAAGTGACGTGGAGCCGATGGGGATGCCGATGGGTCGGGTCTGACCCGGAACCGAAAGACCCACGGTAGTTCTAGAAACGGAACATGGCACAGGCTCGGGCAGCTGGCCTCACGGCCTGCTTTCCCGTGACCGGGGGTGTCTGCATCCCTCCCCCCGCCCACAAAAACCTGCGTGAGCCCCTGGGCTCTGTCCCTGGAAACCCCTTCTCCAATGTGTCCTCGGGGGCCAGACGGACTCTGGGGGGACGGCAGAGTAGCACGTGAGCCACCTTTGCTCCCTCAGAGGGCCTGTGGGCCGCAGAGGCTGAGCCCCTGGCTTCTCCCATCTCTGACAGCACGTGGCCCCCGTCGGCCCAGTCCCCCCAGAGAATAACCCCTCCGATCGCAAACTGGCCTGCGTGGACGATGGGATGGAGGTCACCGCCCGCGTGGCTGCCACAGATCGGGGTGAGCGGGGACCGCACACGCCCGCGCGTCTGGCCACCAGGAAACGAGAGGGGGGAGTGGTGTGTGGGTGCGAGGGACCGAGCCCTGGGTTTTGGCAGAATTTGGCAGCGTGACCATGGCAACAGCCTGGGATGGGCGATGGTCCTTTGTAAATGGCCCTAGTGTGTCCCTAAACAGGTGAAAGAGGATAGGTTTGGTTTTTGTGTTTTTTTTTTAAAAAACAAAACAAAACACAAAATGCCATTGCAGCCTGACCCACGGGGACAGGCAGGTATGCATGAGCGAGAGGGGGCACCAGAGGGGCGGCCAGCCCTGGCCTCCATCGGGCGAGAAGGGCGTCCTGGCTGGGCTGTGGCAAATGTTCTTTCCGTTATGAAGCAGAGAGAGAGAGAGAGAGAGAGAGAGAGAGAGAGAGAGAGAGAGAGAGAGAGAGAGGGAGAGGGAGAGATCAGAGAGAGAGAGGCAGAGAAGGAATGAGGAGACTCGATTCTCTAGTGTTCTGTTGCTTTTTCAGTGTCATTAAGGTTCTAAAAGGCCCGTGTCAGTTAAGGGTTTGGGCAGGGCAATCAGCTGCTTGCATATTGGAAAAAAAAAAAAAAAAGGGGGGGGGGGTCATCCCGCACGTGTGTGTGTGTGTGTGTGTGTGTGTGTGTGTGTGACCGGCAGAGAGGCCTGTGGGCAGCAGCCCCACGAGGTGCAGGCGGCCGTGGCCAGATGGTTGGGGCCGAGCACACACGCGTGTGCACACACACACGCACACACACGGGGGGGGGCCCTGCTCCGCGGGACGGGGTCCCACCTCAGCAGGTGGAGGACTGGGGGAGAGGCACGGGCCTCTCGTTCTTGCGCCCCCCGTTCATCTGGGCGTAGGCCTGCCTGTCGTCGAGGCTGGAGCGGTGGTAGATGAGCACGCGCTGGCCCAGGCCGTCGGGGACGGGCTGGATGTCGCGGTGCGGGCAGTAACGCTGGCGCTCGCGGGGCGGCTCGTACTGCCGGTGGTGCGGGCAGTAGCGCTCCCGGCACTCGTGGTGGCGGGGGCAGTAGCGCTCGCGCCCGTCGTGGTGGTGGGGGCAGTAGCGCTCGCGCCCGTCGTGGTGGTGGTGGTGGTGGTGGTGCTGGCAGTGGCGCTCGGGCAGCGGCAGGGAGGCGCAGGAGGCCGAGGGGTCGAGGGGCACGCACTCCAGCATGGAGGGGTCCAGGTCGAGCTCCTCGGTGTCGGGCGGCTTGTTCTCGTCGCTGTAGTAGAAGGACACCTCTATGAAGCCGGGCTCCAGCTCGTCCTTGATGCTGCCGATGATGTCCAGGAAGGAGGGCCGCATCTTGGGGTTGAAGTGCCAGCACACCTGCATCAGCTCGAACCTGCGGGGGAGACGGGGGGCGGGGGGGGGGTAAGACGGAGAGATGGGCGTCACCGGCCGGGCGGCGCCTGGCCCAGCAGCCTCGGGCCCGGCGCTCGCTCTGCCCACCGCCGCGGGCACAACGGGGCACACCGGTCCCTGTTCTGTAACCCTCTCTGAGTCTCTGGAGTTCCCTCCTTTTATTATTATTATTATTATTATTATTATTTTAAATATATTTTTATTGATTTTTTACAGAGAGGAAGGGATAGGGATAGAGAGCTATTGTAGAAACGTCGATGAGAGAGAAACATCGACCAGCTGCCTCTTGCACACCCCCCACCAAGGATGTGCCCGCAACCAAGGTACATGCCCTTGACCGGAATCGAACCATCAACCTATGAACCAGGAGGTCACCGTTCCATTCCGGCCAAGGGCACATGCCTGGGTTGCAGGCTCGATCCCCAGTAGGGGGCGTGCAGGAGGCAGCCCATCTATGGTTCTCTCTCATCACTGATGTTTCTCTCTCTCCCTTCCTCTCTGAAATCAATAAAAAATATATATATGTATATTTTTTAAAAAGGCCAACTGGAGCTCCTCATACCTAAGAAGATTTAAGCACCCCGAAATGGCTTCCCGCCATCTGTCGGGGTGACCCCTTGACCAACAGACCACCTTGTGGCCCCGGGGAGAGAAGTGGTGGGACATGACCCCGGCCTGCAAAGAGAGCTCCCAGGCCCGCCAGGCCAGCTGCCTCGAAGGGGAGGTCAGACAGGAGAGGCCGGGACCCCGAGGCGGGCGGGAGCTAGGCTTGCCGCCTGCTCCGCCGCCTGTTTTAATAAATCAAGTTTGGTGGCAACAGGAACAGGCTCGTTTGTTTACAGTGTCTACGGCTGCTCTTGAGCTCCTGCTGGGAGCCGAGTGGCTGGAAGAGACACCGTCTGGCCTGTGAGCCCGAAACGTGGGCCGCGGTGGCCAGCTGATGAGCCCTGGATACCGCGCTGACCAGGTTCGAGCCCGCGATCAAGGTACATGCCCTTGACCGGAATCGAACCTGGGACCCTTCCGTCGGCTGGCGGACACTCTATCCACTGAGCAACAGTGGCCAGACAATCCCAGGGTCCCAGCCCTTCCAGTGCCGCCCCTAAAAGGAAGTCTGTTGCGCTGTGGGATTCCAGACCTGTTCACACCCTCTTTGCAAGAAAACACTGCAGCGGATCCTAGGAGGATTTACGAGCTGATAGAACGCGTCTGTTAGAAAAAGGACATTTTTGCCAAAACCGGTTTGGCTCAGTGGATAGAGCATCGGCTTGGGGACTGAAAGGTCCCAGATTCGATTCCAGTCAAGGGCATGTACCTTGGTTGCAGGCACATCCCCAGTAGGGGGTGTGCAAGAGGCAGCTGATCGATGATTCTCTCTCATCGATGTTTCTAACTCTCTCTCTCTCTTCCTCTCTGTGTAAAATCAACTTCACTGAATTCCCCAGCGGGGGTGGGGGCAGGGACAAGACTAAATGAAGCTGCTGTCCCGAGATAAGCTGCCTCGTTCAGACACAGGGGCCAAGGGGGCCGGGGGACCACAGCCCTGCCCGCTGCGGCCTGCACCTCGCATGCCTCCGTTTCCCCACCCTACTGCGTGCCTAAGGTGACGATCACAGCCAAGGTGCACAGCAGTGCAGCCCTGGCTGGTGTGGCTCAGTGGACAGAGCGTCGGCCTGTGGAACCGAAGCCTCCCGGTTTTGATTCCCCAGTTGGGGGCATGCAGGAGGCAGCCGATCTACGATTCTCTCTCCTCATTGCAGTTTCTCTCCCTCCCTCTTCCTTCCTCTCTGAAATCAATCCATTTTAAAAAGAGGCATCCGGGTAACGTTTCACAGAGATGTCGGTCTGAGATGCCATGATGGGGGTGAGGGGAAGGCGCAGGCCCTCCCAAAGGCCGGGCCTCGTCCCCACCCAGCGCCCCCAGCGCGCGCCGCGGGGCCCGGGGGCCACGTACAGCATGTCGGGGCAGTTGTCGGGCTTGTCCAGCAGGCCGCCCTCCATGACGAAGTGCAGGACTTGCTCGTTGGACAGGCCCTGGTAGGGCTGCTCGGCCAGCGTGGCGATCTCCCAGAGCACAACACCGAAGGACCTGCGGGGAGGAGAGGGGCAGGCGTGAGGCCTCGAGGGGGCGCACAGACCACGAGCCCGCCCCTTCCCAAAGCTCTTCGACCCTCGTCCCTGCCCCCTGCCCTAGGGACTGCCCGCTGGGCGGCCAGGGAGCCCGGCTCCGAGCTACGGGGTCCTCATTTGTGTCGCCACGTCTCCATCGCCTGCCCATCAGTGCGGCCCTGGATGCTGAAGGGCAGGGAGATTCAGGGGAACCTTAAACTTGAACCATACCCCACCCCCCACCCCCAGGCGAGCGAGTTGGGGCAGGGCAGTCTCCGTGGCCTCACACGTGGCCTGGGACCATCAAGCCGCCCGACAGGCTCCCAGTTGGGGAACCTCAATCCCGGGCGCTCTCTGCTGAGCCAAAGGCGGGGAGTGTGGGTCGGGATGGGGGGATGTGTGGAGGCCGGGGGGGAGGTCAGGGGGGGAGAGGGGTTATCTCCGGGGTCAGTCCCGCCTACCAGACATCAGAGTGGGTGGTGAACACGCCGTCCTTGAGGGACTCGGGGGACATCCAGCGCACAGGCAGCAGGCCCTTCCCGCCCTTCCGGTAGTAGTCGGTCTCGTAGATGTCGCGGGTCATGCCGAAATCTGCGGGGCGGGGCGGGGAGGAGGCAGGAGGAGAGCGACACTCAGGGGACCAGCAGCACAGACAGGACATTCCCACTGCCAGGCGGCCCCGCCTCTTAAAGGGGCCACATGGCGGTGTCTGCCATCCACCGTCATCGGCAGAACCCGGGAGTGGCTGCGATTGGCTGTCACCGGAGATGACGACATTACTCCCGAGAGCAAGCCTCTGCGCCCACAAGATGCACGGGAAAACCTCCCCATGGGGGGAGGAGGGAGGGAGGGAGGGAGGGAGCACCCCGACACGCCCCCTAAACCACATGCAAGTCGAGCCCCTGCTCAGGTCTCGGCAGCCAAGGACTCGCCTCCGATCTTGACGGTCAGATCCTCAGCCACCATGCAGTTGCGGGCAGCGAGGTCCCTGTGGACGAACTTGTTGGCGTTGAGGTACGCCATGCCGTCCGCGATCTCCCCGGCCATCTGGATCATCTTGCTGAGGGTCGGCGGTGAGAGGACGGGGAGGGGCTGTGGGAGACACACACACACAAAAAAAACAACACCACACGTGAGCATCCAGGCGTGTTTCGAGGCGTGCACACCCTCCGCCCCCTCCCCCCACCCTCTCTGCTCCGTCTGAGCCACACAGCGGTCTATCCCGCTCGGGAGCCAGGCCTGGTTCAGAAGGAACCTGTGCGCCTGGCCGGTGTGGCTCAGTGGGTGGAGCAATCGACCCAGCAGTAACGACTCCCCGCCAGGGCACGTACCCGGGGTGGTGGGCTTGGGCTCGGGCTCGGTCTCGATCTCGACCTCCGGTTGGGGGCGCGCAGGAGGCAGCCAATCAAGGAGGCAGTGAGTGGACGGTGTTTCTCTCTGGTCGGGATGGTGTGTGTTGGCTCTCCTTCTCTCTCTCCCTAAAAAAAAAAAAAAAAAAAAAAAAAATCAATTAAAAATATTTTACGGAAAGGATTTGAAGCTCAAAACAGACGGACAGTTTTTTGTTTGTTTGTTTTTTACTAGACGGAGCTAAAAGCGTGCAAGGTTCTCACTGCAAAGCACAGGACAGAACCTGGCCGCCGGGCACAGGGCGTGACAAGTTCAGCTGCCTGGGGTCAAGGGCACAGGCTGCTGTCGGGGCAGGGAGGGGGCCTATGTGTGGGAGGGGGGTGGGGGGGATGGGTGCATGCAGTTGGGGGCAGGACAGGCTTCAGGGAGGGCTCAGGACTGACATGGTCTCTGGGAATGGCCCCAGCAAGGATCTATGACCGAGCAGTCAGATTCAAAAACATTGAAAGGAGTGAACATATCAGATGGGACGTCAATCAAAACCCCAAAACCCAACCCTAGCCGGTGTTGCTCAGTGGTTAGAGCGTCAGACCGCGGACGAAAGGGTCCTGGGTTCGATTCCCGTCAAGGGCACACACCTGGGTTGCAGGCTCCCAGCCCTGGTTGGGAGCACGGGGGAGGCAACCAACCGATGTTTTTCTCTGTCTCTCCTCCCCTCCCCCTCACTCTCTCTAAAAATCAATGGGAAAAACATCCTTGGGTGAGGTTAAACAACAACCAAAAAAAACATATAAATTAAAAACAATCAATCAAAACCAGAACCCACCTCGATTTCCGGGCGCAGAGACCGGAGGTAACTCTTGAGGTCACCCCGGGGCATAAGCTCCATGATGACCAGGGTGGGCTGGCCCTGGGACACCACACCCAGCAAACGCACCTGGGAGCGGGGGGGAGAGAGAGACAGAGAGGAGGACTCAGAGGAGCAGGGCACCCTTGGCATCGGTGCTCTTCCTCCACCCCCCGGACGCACGGGCCACGTGTCAGGGGTGGGGAACCTTGTTCCTGCCAAAAGGGCCATCTAGACATGGACAGCGTCAGTCACAGCCACAGCCTGTCACACCCAGAGTCTCCTGCGTGCACAGGCGTCTGGGGGCAGCAGTGAGGCGATGAGGGGCTGGGTAGGGGGGCGCAAGTCGCCAAACCCACCGGTGTGGCCTCTTTCCCGTGGCTTCCCCCGTGGCATCTCCCACGTGGCCTCCCCTCCCGTGGCCTCCTCTCCCGTGGCCTCCCCTCCCGTGGCTTCTCCTCCCGTGGCCTCTGCCCCCATGCCGGGATCCGCCTTCTCTCACCACATGGTGACAGTTGAACTCCTTCATCACCGAGGCCTCGTTGAGGAACTCGATCCGCTCCCGCATGGTGGCCGCCTCATTGACCGTCTTGATGGCCACCCTGGTTTCCGGCTCGTCCTTGACCACGCCTTTGGCCACGCCCTCGTACACCATGCCGAAGGAGCCCTGGCCCAGCTCCCGGTTCATGGTGATCTTATCCCGGGCCACCTCCCACTCGTCGGGCACGTACACTGAGGGAGCAGAAAAGGGGAGCCGATGGGGGCGCCGCCGAGGGCACCTAGGCAGGACGTGTTTTTTTGGAGTGAGAAGGCGGCACCATGCCACCTCCAAAAGCCAGCCGAGGAGGATGTAGGAGGGGCAGCGCCGTGGCTTGTCCCCACATGTGGATTCCAGGAGGCAAACGTGCCCTCCGATTCTGGTCTTTCAAATCCTCAAGGGGTCCCAGAAAATTTGAGGATACTAACAGCATATAGAAAGAACTACATGTGAGGGATAGAGGCGGGGTGTGTGTGTGTGTGTGTGTGTGTGATCGGACGGTCAATGAGAAAAAAAAAAACACACACCAAAAAAATCAAAGAGGACATCGGTCATACTTGCCACAATAAAGAAACATTTTAAAAATAATCAAAAGACCCAGAAAGTAGTCCACTTGGAGACATGCTGCGAAGTCTATAAAGTTCACCACCGTGGATTTCAAAGACAAAAAAGCAAGAAAGAATGCAAAGACTGCATTCCACTTAACGCTAACCACTGAGCCGCACCAGCCCGGGCAGTGCGGGATTTTTGAGATACGCAGGGAACTGCTAAGAACTCTGACTTAAAAGAAAAAAGAAAAAAAAAAAGAGTATTACCAGACAGAGTACCTGCAAATAATGCAGACTTCTCCTCCCCGTAAACGAGCCATCCCCCCCCAACCCCAAAGTGACCTGACCCGGCGTCCCCACGCAGGGAAGCTGAGCTTACCGTCGGCCGCGCTGAAATACTCGGGGTTCACAGACGCGTACAGCACTCCGTTCCCCATGCGATTGCTGCGTCGGCCGAAAAAGGGGGGCGCGTTAGGCAAAAACAATAAACAACCAACCAACCAGCCGAACGAACAGAACGTCCTCTGTTCCCGAGAAGCACCTCGGATTGGAAAATCAGGCTTTCCGAGCCCCAAACTATTTCCTCAAAAAGCTGACCTTAATTTACACGCCGGAGCCCCAGACCGCCCCCCACGCCCCCGAGCGTCTCCCCGTCGCCCAGCTACTCACCGCTTCCGGTGGATGACGTACAGCGTGACGGCCAGCCCGAAGACGATCAGCACGATGGCGATGGGCAGGGCGATGACCAGGTGGGCGTGATTGTCCAAGGCTGTTGCGGAAATGCAAGGGGTAAGGGTCAAAGGTCGTAAAGTACTCAGGCTACTCCATTCATTCATTCATTCATTTTAAAAATATATATATTTTATTGATTATATTTTTTTCAGAGAGGAAGGGAGAGGGATGAGAGAGAAACATCCACCAGCTGCCTCCTAAGCACCCCATACTGGGGATGTGCCTGCAACCAAAGTACGCGCCCTTGACCGGAATCAAACCTGGGGACCATTCAGTCCGCGGGCCGATGCTCTATCCTAGGGGTGTCGAACTCAATCAGAGAAGGGGCCAAAATCTAAAATCCAGGCTAAATCGCGGGCCGAATGGTTTACTGAACAGTCATAAACTGTCATTGTGATGGAAACGCAGCGGAGTGCAGTGATGACAGCGCGGTGCGGGCCACATTGCAAGGCCTGGCGGGACGGATTTGGCCCGCGGGCCTTGTGTTTGACACATGTGCTCTATCCACTGAGCAAAACCAGTCAGGGCCAATCATTTTTTTTTTTTTTTGGTTAATTCTCCTCCGAGGATATCTTTCCTTTGATTTTTAGAGAGAGTGGAAGAGAGAGGGAGAGATGGAGAGAAACATCCATGAAGAGAGAGAGTCATGGAGCAGCTGCCTCCCGCACGCCCCCTACTGGGGATGGAGCCCACAGCCCCGGGCCTGTGCCCTGACTGGGAATGGAACCATGACCTCCTGGGTCATAGGTCAATGCTCCACCACTGAGCCATGCCTGCCGGGGGCCCATTTTTCTTTTTAAAGTACAGTGTCCTCTGCCGTCCTAGTTCAAATGATGGGCTCATGCAATACGGCCTTTATCTGCAGCTGAATGGATGTAAAGAGAAATGCACTCTTGGGCTGAAATAAAATGCAGAGTCTTTCGGAGCCAGTGCTCGCTTGCGCCGTACTGGCCTTTTCATCTGTCTTAACTCAGTGCCACAGACAATTAAAAAAACACACACACACACACAGCCCGGCCGGCGTGGCTCCGTGGCTGAGCATCAACCTAGGAACCAGGAGGCCACGGTCCAGGGCACATGCCTGGGTTGGGGGCTCCGTCCCCAGTGTGGGGCGTGCAGGAGGCCGCCAATCCAGGATTCTCTCTCCTCATGGGTGTTTCTTTCTCTCTCCCTCCCTCTCCTTTCCTCTCTGAAATCAGTAAAAAAGATAAAACACACACACGCACACACTTAAGACAGACACACACAATATAGCTGCATGGCACCCCTTGCCCAAGTACCCTGTTTCCCCGAAAATAAGACAGTGTCTTATATTATTTTTTTTTCTCCCGAAATTGCACTATGTCTTATTTTCAGGGGATGTCTTATCTTTCCATGCGCTAAGTCTTATTTTCGGGAGGATGTCTTACCGTATTTTCGGGGAAACGCGGTAGCTCTGAATCCTCTCCAGACACCACAGTCCAGTGAGGCGTCTGAGAGCCCTGAGCTCCTTGCAGCCCTGGCTCCTCCCTGCCCCCCGGCTCCTCCCAGGACAGAACTCCGAGGATCCAGGACAGAACACCGAGGATCCAGGATAAAACTCTGAGGATCCAGGACAGAACTCCGAGGATCCAGGACAGAACACCGAGGATCCAGGACAGAACACCGAGGAACCAGGACAGAACACCGAGGATCCAGGACAGAACACCGAGGATCCAGGATAACCCGGGCTTCCCCAGTCCCGGCCCGCGTTTCTCTTGCCGCCCGGTGGCTCCCTCCTCCCCCGGCCTCACCTTTGTCCTGGACGAAGAAGAAGATGGGCTCTGTCCAGGACCCGTTCCCGGACAGGGAGGTGGCCTGGATGCGGGCCGTGTAGTTCCCCGGGGTGAGCTTCTGCAGCTTGGCCCCTCCGTACTTCTGGTAGTCCTGCCGGGACACGCACTCCCGCTGGTCCTGTGGGGGTCGGGGAATGGATATAGGCGGACTTCCCACAGACACGCGAGGATCCGGGGGGACTCCCGCGGCCCAGCCTCTCCCTCCCACCGGCCCGGGATCCCGATGTGCAATAGAAGGAAGGAAAGCAAGCCTTAGGAGGCTCCCGAGCGTTTCTGCTTTTAAATACACGGAGAGGCCGGATGATGATGAAATCTGACTGCATAATCATCTGGCCACTCGGTGCATAACCTATAGAATAAAAGGCTAATAGGCAAATTGTCCCCTCGACCAGGAGCTCGACCAGCAGGCAGGCTGGCCAACCGCCCGTGTCCCCTCCCCCTGGCCAGGCTGGCTGGACCCCACCCATGCACAAATTCATGCACTGGGCTTCTAATATATAATACACACACACACACACAGAGTGGCCAGATTATTATGCATTGAGATCATAATAATCTGGCCACTCAGTGTACGTTTCTATTGATATCACAGAGGAAGGGAGAGGGGAAGAGAGAGAGAAATACCCATGATGAGAGAGAATCATGGATCGGCTGCCTCCTGCACGCCCCCTACTGGGGATGGAGCCACAACCCAGGCCTGTGCCCTGACCGGGAATCAAACCGGGACCTTCCTGGTTCACAGGTTGACTCTCAACCACGGAGCCACGCCAGTCGGGCTCAGTCCTTATTTTATTGTTTAAAGTCAAGCGAAGCAGCAGGGGCCGTAACCAACGGTTACCCCGCGAAGGAGACCCCCCACCCAACCGCGGCCCCCCGGCCCTGTCTCACCTCCTCCTGGGACCCGTACTTGACCTCATACATGAGGATCAGCCCGTTGGGGTTCTCAGGCTCCGGCCACATTAAGATGACGGAGTCGGCCTTCTGCTCCCAGGTGATGGGCCCGGGAATGTCATCTGCTCCCTCTGTGTGCGACAACGAGGGACGAGCCATCACGCCGGGCGCGGTTCCCCCGGGAGGGATTCCGACCCTGGGCTCACCCACAAGCACCCTCCTCAGGTCCAGGGCCAAGGACCCCGTGAGCTGGGTGCTCGCACACCCTGCAGGTCTGGGGGGGGGGGGAGCGGAGACATTTGATGACCCATGAGCCCCTCCAGGCCAGCCTCTGCCACCTCCTGCCGCCATCCAGCCTTCTTTCAATGTTTTATTTTGATTGGTTTCAAAGAGGAAGAGAGAGAGGGAGAGAGAGAGGGAGGGAGGGAGAGAGAGAGAGAGAGAGAGAGGGAGAGAGGGAGGGAGGGAGAGAAACATCTATGAGGGGAGAGAACCATGGATTGGCTGCCTCCTGCGCACCCCCTACTGGGAATCCAACTGGGGACCCCTTCGGCTGACATGCTATCCATGGAGCCACACCGGCCGGGGCCGCATCCGCCCTTAAAGACAGGTGGGCGTCTGTCTGAGTGACAGGCAGCCTCTGACCCACAGGGAGATGGAGAAGACCCAACAAGCAGGACCAGAGGCGGCTCCGGGGATGACCTTGGGGAGTAGAGGTCACTCAGAGTCCAGGCAGCTACTGGGGACTTCCCTGGAGCTGCGAGGACTCAGGAGGGGCCTGGCCCAGATGGGGAAAGGCTGGGGGAATGCACACCGGGAACCCAGCTAGAGGAGGACGGGAGGAGGAGGGGAGGAGGAGGGGAAGGAGGAGGGGGAAAAAGAGGAGGAGGAGGGGGAGGAGGAGTGACTTCGAAGCGACTTCTGTTCCCTTTTATACTCTGTATGGAAATTCTGGGGTGGGAGTGATGGCGCCAGGAGGGGTCTGCTCACAGGCGAGCACCCGCTCTTTTTACTTATTTCTTTTTGTAAATATGTTTTTATTTACTTTATTTATTTACTTATTTATTTTATATGTTATTGATTTTCACAGAGAGGAAGAGAGGAATAGAGAGAAACATGGATGAGAGAGAACCATCCATCAGCTGCCTCTTGCACACCCCCCTACTGGGGATGTGCCCGCAACCAAGGTCCATGCCCTTGACCCCGGGAATCGAACCCGGGACCCTTCAGTCGGCAGATGGATGCTCTACCCACTGAGCCACACCGGTTTCGGCTTTTTTTTTTTGGGGGGGGGGCCCCATTCTTTAAGAAGCGGGAGGCGGGGCGGGGCGGCTGGACCGCGCCGTACCTGCAGGCATGGTCCGGGCGAAGACGAAGTTGGAGGCACTGCAGCCCAGCGTGTCGGCCTCGTGGTTGCAGCTGTGGATGTCGATGCGGTAGAGGGTGAAGGGCTTCAGGTTGGAGATGACGGTCCGCTCCTTCTTGTCCACGCGGCTCTCGAAGAAGGGGTGCTCCCAGCCCGAGTCGTCGTCGATGACCCACTCGGTGGTGTTGAAGGGGTCGGTCACCGAGCTGTTGCGGCCCCGGCCGGAGAAGCTGGTGTTGGAGACCTGCCCCAGGTCCCGGCGCTTCCTGTCGGGCCTGCGGGGGAGACGCGCGCACACACACACACTCACACACACACACCCCGGGCTCGCACGGCCCCCAGCGCCCTCGCCTCGTCTCCGCCTTGGGGTGGAGTCACCGAGAGAAAAGCAAAACCTCCCCCCCCCCCCATTATTATATTTATATCGTTATTTTTATTACGTTAGCTAATACATTCATTAAAAGGTGGAATGATACCTCCTTATGTATTTTTTCCCATTCTCTCTCTCTCTCTCTCTCTTTTTGTTTTTTAGAAAAGCAAAATATTTTTGTTGTTCCATTTATGTTACTTTATTAATTAATTTAGCTAATACATTCATTAAAAGATGCAACGATACCTCATAATTTTCTTATTCCTCTCTCTCTCTCTCTCAAGAAAAGCAAAATCTTAACCCAGGAATGAAAGGAGCTAGGCAGCCCTCCTGGCTAAGAGCCAAGCAATAGTCCAAGGATTTCCTTCCTTTCCGTTTTTTTCATTTTTATTTTTCAAATGCATCTTTTTTTAAAAAAAAATTGATTTCAGATAGGAAGGGAGAGGGAGAGAGAGAAACATCAATGATGAGAGGGAATCATGGATCGGCTGCTTCCTGCACACCCCCTCCTGGGGATCGAGCCCACAACCCGGGCCTGTGCCCTGACCGGGAATCAAACCCTGACCTCCTGGTTCACAGGTCAAAGCTCAACCACTGAGCCACACCAGCCGGGTGCTTGTCCCTCCTTGATGGTGACTGGGTGCCGGCCCGAGGTCCCGGACCCCCCAACTAGCGGTGGGAGAGGGACCCACAGGCCCTGGGTGGGGCGGGGGGGGGGGCAGGGACAGGGGGTCCGCGGAGACGCACCGGGGCACGAAGATGGAGTTGTGCAGGAAGTTCTCGAAGACCTTGCGGTACTCGGCCTCCTCCTTCTCCAGCTGCTTCTCGGCCTCGGTTTTGGGGCAGGCGCAGCAGGGCCCCTTGGGGGGTTTGCAGGACTCGGACTTGTGGTTCTCCGACAGCTCCTCCTCCAGGTCGAAGGTGCCTTCCGTGTACTTCCGCACCGGGAGCTTGTCTGCTCGGGAAAGGGGGCGCACGAGGGCCGGTCACCCCGCTGGGCGGTCAGGGCGGGACGGCGGCCCTGGGGCTGGGACACGGGCTGGCAGGGGCGCCCCCACCCCCCTGGGGTCCCCGGTCCCCGGTCCCCGCGCCCTGCCTTTGGAGCAGTAGTTGTGCTGGTACAGGTAGGCGTCCTGCGGCTGCTGCTGCCAGCGCACGATGTAGTAGCTCAGGTTCCCGTTGGGCAGCGAGGGCGGGTTCCACCTGACGATCAGCTGGGAGGACGAGTTGGAGGCCGAGATGACGTCCAGCGGGATGGAAGGCACTGGAAGGAGGGCGGCAGGCGTTTCGGGAGACGGACCGGGACCCGAGATCCGGGCCCTCGGCCTCCGTGCAAACCGCCCGGAGCCCACAACCGGCCCGGGAGGGGAGGGCGGCGCGGAGAGGCACGGGGAGGGCTGCGTCTCCCCCCGGCCTCCGTGACCAGGCCGCCCCGGGGGGCACACGCCACTGAGCTGCGGTCGGACGAGGTGTGTGTGTGGGGGGGACCCGGGGTGGAGCGGTACCTGCGGCGAGCATGAGCAGCCTGCGTCTCAGCAGAGATTTTGGAGTCCCGGGTTCAAATGGCAAGAACCCAGGTGAACAGGGGAAGTGAAAGGGGCTAGAAGGAGAGGGAGAAAGAGAGGGAGGGAGGGTGGGGAGGAGGGAAGAAGAGAGGGAGGGAGAGGGACAGAGAGGGTGAGAAGGAGAGAGGAAGAAAGAGAGAGAGGAAGAAGAGAAGGAGAGACAGAGGGATGCAGAGACAGAAGAGAGGAGAGAAAGAGAGATAGGAAAAGAGAGGGAGAGAGGAAAGGAAGGAGGGAGGGAGGGAGGAGGAGGAAGAGAGGGATAGAGAGGGAGAAAAGGAGAGAGTGAGAGGGAGAGGGAGAGGGAGAAAGAGAGGGAAGAAGAGAGGGAAAAGGAGGGAGAGGGAGAGAAGGAAAGAGGGAGGGAGGGAAGAAGGGAGGGAAAAGAAGGGAAGGAGGAAGAAAGGGAGAGAGGGACAGAGGGACAGAGAAGGAAGGAGGGAGGGAGGGAGGAAGGGACAGAGAAGGAAGGAGGGAAGGAGAGAGGGAGGGAGGGAGGGAGGGAGAAGGAAGAAAGGGAGAGAGGGAGAGGGACAGAGGGACGGAGGGAGGGAGGGAGGGAGGGAGAAGGAAGAAAGGGAGAGAGGGAGAGGGACAGAGGGACAGAGGGAGGGAGGGAGGGAGGGGAGAGCGGTCCGGAGCGCTGGCACGGCCGGCCGCAGGGTACCTGAGGCGTTGGTGCGGAGGTACAGGATGTCGCTCTTGGCCCCGCGGATGTGGTCGCTCTCCACCACGGTCAGGGTCACGGCCTTCACGTAGATGGCGTACTGCGTCCAGGGCTTGAGGCCGTGCAGGAGGATGCCGGGCTCCATGTCCTTGTTGGCGGGCAGGTCCACGTCCACCATGTTCCAGCTGTTGGAGCCGCAGGCGTCCTGGCCGTCGTACTCGGTCACGTTCTGGTAGGGCCTGCGGGGGCGACCGACCCAGCGCTCAGAGCCCCCAGCTCCCACCCCGGCCCCCGGGGCTCCCTCCCGCTTTCTTCTCTTCTTCCTGTTTATCTCCCTGTCCGTTTCATTTTTATTATCATCTAAATCGACCCCTTTCTTAAAGAAAAAATACATCAGTATTGACTTCAGAGAGGGAGAGGGAGAGAGAAACATCCATGAGGAGAGAGAACCATGGACCGGCTGCCTCCTGCACGTCCCCCCTCCTCCTCCTGGGGACGGAGCCTGCAGCCCAGGCATGTGCCCTTGACTGGGAATTGAACTGTGACCTCCTCCTGGTTCAGAGTTCAAGGCCCACCCACTGAGCCGCACCGGCCGGGCTCCTTTGCATTTGTTTTATTCAGATTCCTCCACCCCCTGAAGCCAGTGCCTGCCCTTGTTTGTTTGTTTGTTTTTTAATATATTTTATTGATTTTATGCAGAGAGGAAGGGAGAGAGATAGAGAGAAACATGGATGAGAGAGAACCATCCATCAGCTGCCTCTTGCACACCCCCTACTGGGGATGTGCCCGCAACCAAGGTACATGCCCTTGACCGGAATCGACCCCGGGACCCTTCCGTCCCCAAGCCGATGCTCTACCCATTGAGCCAAACCGATCCCGGCCAGTGCCTGCCCGTGTGTGGCTGCTACCGGCAGTGGGAGACCTCACGTGACAGCGGAGGACGCGCGGATCCCCTCCCTGTCCCCCCTCGGCCTCGGCCCGGGACTCACGCCTCCTTGTAGTAGACGGTGAAGCTGATGAGGTCCCTGTAGTCTGGGGGGCGGTACCGGTGCCACGTGACGATGATGCGGTTCTTCCAGGTGTTGGTGGACGTGAAGTGCAGCAGGTCGCTTTCACCTGGGGGGCGCGGGGCACAGCCGTGAGGGGGACCCCCGCCGCCGTCTCCGCCACGTGCCCGAGGGGTCCCCCGCCCCGTGCCCCCGGGCTCCAAAGCTGCCTGCTCATTGGCTGTCCTCATGTGACAGCGGGGACGGGGCCCGAGGAGGCAGCGTGGACACGGACACCACACCCACACACACACACACACACACACACACATGCACGCACACACAGCTCCTGTCCGGACGTCTCGGTGGCTTTCTTACTTCTCACCAGGGACCCAAATACGGGTTTCACCCCATGGAGCTCGCAAGGGCTCCAGAAGGAGACCCCGTGTCCCCACAGGTGGAATGAGGAGGGGGAGACACACACACACACACACGGATCGTCTCGATTGGAAAAGGAGTCCCTTTGTTACCCAGCGGGGCCCACCGCGTTTTGACTCAAAACGTGTTTCCCAAAGTGTGGTCCGCGCACCCCCAGGGGTACGGGGGGAAGAGTTTGGAGGGGGCACGCGTTGCACCGGAGTTTGGTGGGGACAGGCACTGCACCGTGCTTAGCTGCGCCTCATTCTACGTCCTCATGAGGACGAGGGGTCCTCAGCGTTAGGAAAATTATAGAAGGGGGACACCTACTACGTCAAAAAGTGTGGGAAACACTGGATTAGAGGATAATCAAAAAGGGCCCAAAGAAACAATAAACACAGCTTCTTCTGCATATCTCCAACACACGTGCACACACGTGTATCACACGCACACACGCATGCATGCATGTGCACGCACGCGGGGGCGCCCACTCACAGGAGGCCCTGTCGCCGTTGTTGCGGGTGTTGATGTCGCCCTTGCCCTGGCGCCCCCGGGCCCCGGTCATCTCCTCCATGCGGTAGATCTCGGACACGCACAGCTTGGGGTTGAAGGCGAAGTACATCTTGCCGGACTTGAGGGTCAGGTTGTGGGTGTCCCAGTCCCACAGCTGCTGCAGGTTCTGGTTGTCCAGGACGTAGAAGGAGTAGTTCCTGCCGACACAAGTTTTTGTTTTGTTTTTCCCTCCCCCATTGGGTCCCGGAGGAAGTGACTACCCACTGAGCCACCCAGTAGGCGCGCCTTCCTCACTGTCTCTAAGGCTCGAGGCCCTTACGTTCCAAAGACTCTATTTTTTTTTTTTAAACACGTTTCTTGATTTCAGAGAGGAAAGGAGGGAGAGGGAGAGAGAGAAACATCCATGATGAGAGAGAATTATGGACTGGCTGCCTCCTGCACCCCCCCTTACCCCCCCACGCCCGCCCTGGGGATGGAGCCCGCAACCCGGGCATATGCTCTGACCAGGAATCGAACCCTGGTTCATAAGTCGACTCTCTAACCACTGAGCTACACCGGCCGGGGCTCCCTTCTTCTTGACAAGAGGGGGCTCTCACCCCCGGAACACAGAACCCTCCGGGCGCACAGCTGACCCCGGGCCGCGGGCGGGCGCGCGGGCGGCACTCACCCCTCCAGCTGCTCCTCTCCCAGGACCTGGCGGAGGCTTTTGAAGAAGGACAGGGAGACCAGCGCGTGGGAGTGGCGGATCTTGATGTAGCCCGTGACCACCTCGATGAGCCCCATGAAGTTCTCCAGTTCCGAGGCGATGTTATCTGCGGGAAGGGGGGTGGGGCGGAACCGTGTTACCCAGCTCCCGCTCAGGCCTGCTCTGGGGGCGACTCTGAGATGCTCAGGCTGCTGGTGGGGAGCCCCCTCCCTTGTCTGAACAACCCCCTTTCCCGGAACAGCCCCCCCTCCCTCAGGGCAGTGGAGGGTGTCTTCCTTGGAGGCTGGATGGGATAGCTCCCAGGCAGAGGAAAAGAAAAAACAGTCAAATCATAAACGCCAGACCCCCTGTTAGCTATCTGGAGAGCAGCTTTTGTTTTATTAAAAAATAATAATAATAATAAATAAGTAAATAAATTAATTAAAAAAAATAAAACACCCACAAAACACCTATTTTTATCCATTTCAGACAGGAAGGGAGAGGGAGAAAGAGAGAAACATCCATGATGAGAGAGAATCGTGGACCGGCTGCCTCCTGCGCGCCCCCTAGTGGGGATCGAGTGCACAACAGGACCTGCGCCCTGATGGTGGATGGAACCGGGACCTCCTGGCTCGTGGATCGGATGCTGCACCTCTGAGCCAGCGGGCTGGGCACTGGGCTGTTTTTCTAGGCCAGTTGTGAGCCAGGGACGGGTAGCAGAGGCCCCACCACCCCCAGAAAACCCAGAGGCCCTGCAGGCCCTGCAGGAGGAGGGCGGGGCGGGCGGGGAGGGAGGAGGGAGGAGGGATACTCACTGCCCCTGCGGATGTTGATGAGCAGGTTGCCCTTGAAGATGGTGCAGCCCTGGAGCATCTGAGCCGAGGTCACCGAGTCGATAGTCTTGGTGCCCTTGTACTCCTCGCAGATCTTGGGGCACGGCCCTTCGCAGGGGACGCAGAACATGCTGCGGGGGGCAGAGAGGGAGCCCCGCCCCGAGGCGGAGGTCAGCGCCCGCCCCGGCCCCCAGAAAACCCGCCAAGACCCGCATCCCCTTCCCGCGGCTACACTCGAACCACCGCCGTGCGGCTGCTGCTATTGTTTCAGTCTCTTTGCAACAATGTAACGCAGGCCCGCTCCCTCCCCCAGCCCCTCCCCACAGGACAGGGTCTGGGGGCGCCGGGGACCCCGCGCCGGGCCTGACCTCAGGCTGTCGTTGCGGATGAAGCCGGACGGGCACTCCTGCATGCACTCCCCGTCGTGCAGGACGAAGCCCTCCAGCTCGAAGCCCTCCTCCAGGTCCTCTTCGTCGCCGAGGGGGATGTTGGCGCAGAACTCGCGGTCCACGCAGCGCCAGCCCTCGAAGCGGTAGGTGTCCGGCGGGCACTCGGCCACGCACACGCCCTCGTGGTAGTAGTGCTTGCAGGCCACGCAGGCCGCCTGGTCGTCCGGGGCCGTGCAGCCGCCCAGGCACTCCTCGTGGCAGCACTCATGGTTGTCCGTGCACGCCCGCTTCCCGCACGCGCTCGGGCAGGCTGTGGGGCAGAGGGCGCGGGATGAGCACGCTTCGTTTCTATTTTTAAAATAGATTTTTTTATTTTAAAAAAAACCATATATTTCATTGATTTCTTTTACAGAGAGGAAGGGAGAGGGATGAGAGAGAAACATTCACCAGCTGCCTCCTGCACACCCCTCACTGGGGATGTGCCCGCATCCAAGGTACATGCCCTTGACCGGAATAGAACCTGGGACCCTTCAGTCTGCAGGCCGACGCTCTATTCACTGAGCCACACCAGTTAGGGCAGTTATAACTTTTTAAAAAATATATGTTTTATTGATTTTTTATTTATTTATTTATTTTTTTACAGAGAGGAAGGGAGAGGGATAGAGAGCTAGAAACATCAATGAGAGAGGAACATCGACCAGCTGCCTCCTGCACAACCCCCACTGGAGATGTGCCCGCAACCAAGGTACATGCCCTTGACCGGAATTGAACCCGGGACCTTTCAGTTCGCAGACCGACGCTCTATCCACTGAGCCAAACTGGTTTCGGCGTATAACTTTTTAAAAAGATTTTTATTTTATTATTAAAAAACATTTTTATTGATATCAGAGAGGAAGGGAGAGGGAGATACAGAGAGAAACGTCCATGAGGAGAGAGAATCATGGATCGGCTGTCTCCCGCACGCCCCCTCCTGGGGATCGAGCCTGCAACCCAGGCACGTGCCCCAAAGGGGAATGGAACCCGTGACCTCCTGGTTCCTAGATCGATGCTCAATCACTGAGCCACCTGGGCTGGGCTAGACGAGATTTAAGGGGGGGAAAAAAATTTAAGGAAAAGGGAGAGATTTCCCCGACCTGGGCATGACCCGCCTGCTCTAGGGAAGCGTGATGAGCGTGACCGGGGTCCAGGTATTCGACAGGGACACACAGGTGTCTCTCTCACACACCCCACATCCCCTCATCCTGCCTTTAACATTTCATTATCGTTGTTATTATTCTGTAGTATTTCTCAAGAGGAGCAGGAGAAAGAAGACAGGGGGGAGGGAGAGAGAGACAGAGAGAGACAGAGAGAGAGAGAGAGAGAGAGAGAGAGAGAGTGGGGAAAGATCCCCATAGATTCTGCTGTTGTGACCGCTAGGCACAGCCACATACAGATGCCCCCTCGCAGGTCCCAGAGGCTTACATGGCCAGGCGGAGGGGATAAAAAAAATAGTAATAATACTCGTCTCACACACTCAAAAATTACTCCAAGTTATTTTAAATCGGGGACTGTTTGTATATTCCTTATAAGTTGATGAAGCGCGCACTGTCCCTCCATGACTCAGGGCGGAGGAATGGGGAGGGGCGGCTATATTTATCGCCCGCCGGCGGCTCCCAGCTCCGGCCCTGCATGCACCCCCGTTACTGTACACACAGCCACGGGGGCGGCACCCATGTCCTAACAAGGCCGGCCTGGGGCCCCCCTTCAAGGGGAAGCGAGGCCCCTGGAGTCGTGGTTTCGGCTGCATCCCAACACCCACCGGTGCCGGGGCCCATTTGTGCACAATGACATGCCTCATATCAATGCCACTAGTAGGTGCCTACTGTATACATCCAGGCTATCCAGTAAGTCGCCACAAATAACACTCCTTTTTAATATATATATATATATATATATATATATATATATATACATACATACACATACACACACACACACACACATATGTATATATATTCTTTTTATTGATTTTTTATAGAGAGGAAGGGAGAGGGATAGAGTTAGAAACATTGATGAGAAACATTGATCAGCTGCCTCCTGCACGCCCCCTACTGGGGATGGAGCCCGAAACCCGGGCATGTGTCCTGACCGGGAATCGAACCAGGACCTCCTGAGGATATTTTTTTTTTCCCCATTTTATTTTTTAAGAGAGAGTGGCAGGGAGGGTGTGAGATACACAGAGAGAGACATTGATGAGAAAGAGACCCATCGATTGGCTGCCTCCCACACGTGCCACGGGAACAGAGGTCCGTGCTCTTGACCTGACTCAAACCTGTAGACCTAACCCCTGAGCCAACCCTGCGAGGACCCCAAACGAGTAAGCTCTTAGCACAACCTCCTTGAACAGCATGGCAGAGCCGCTGCTGTCCCGAGTTGCAGTGCATCCTCATGGCCAGCAGAGGGCGCACGAGACCGGGGCGTGGACCCTGCTTGCACATCATCTCTTTGGACGCGTTTTGCGTTTTACTCAGAACAAGTACTGGCAAGTGACAAAAAAAAAAAAAAGAGAGAGAGAAAGAGAAAAAGAACATGTTTTGCAAACAATCAGAGTGACCTGAAACCCCGGGTAAAGGCTGAAGTCAGCGTTTGTTCATCGCAGCAGCACGGGCCAGACTCTGTGCAAACGCTTGCTAAGTGGGGCGCGCAGAAGGGAGGGCTGTATGTGTGTGTTGAGGGGGGAGGGAGGAGAGGGAGAACCTGGGCTTCTCGGTTTCCCTTCACCTACCAGGACCTCTCACCTCAGGCCCACACCCCGCCCCCAGTCTGGGCTGCGAGAGGCTTTGTTTTGCCCGAGTCTGGAGCATCTTTGCAAAGGAGACGGATTCCGAAAGCGAGGTGTCATCATCGTTCCTCTGGAGCTGAAAGCAGCCCCAAGAAGTTGGCATCCCTGCGAGGGTTGAAAGGGAAGGGCCGGGGGAGACCGGGCTGTGAAATTCACCCCACGCACAGCATAGTGGTGGTGGTGATGGGGGGGGGGGGGTGAGGATGGAGCTGGGCCCAGCCCCCAGGCCATCTGAACTCGGTGCCCAGGGCCCTGTCACAATGTGATGTTCCCCCTAGAACAGCGAATAAACGACCCACCCACGCGAATACCCCTGGATAGGATTGCGAATTGTAAAATGGGCCCCTTCCCCCCCATTTTCCAATTCTGAAACTGTCTCCCAGCCACACAAGTCCCCCACACCACCCCATCTAAGGTAAAGCCTACTGATTGCATCTGTACCCCAAAATGCACGTCCTCTCCTCCATCCACAAAATCATGCCTCAGCTTCCCCCGCAAGCTCTCTTGCTCCTGCCCTATGCATGGGGAAGCACTTCTCTTCCCTGGATTCTCCTTCTCAGCCCTCCCGGGGCTCTGCACGAGGCCTGCTGAACCTGTTGCTTCCATCTCCCCAACCCTCTTCAGCATTGCACGCCCACCATTCCTCCCTCCCTCCCATTCTCACCCTCATCCTTTGCAATGCCTGCACCCTAGCAGAGGAAGTGCCTGGGGCTCCTAAGCAGCTCGGTCATGCTCAGAGAAATATGCGTTTCACCCCCACGAGGTCCTTGGAGAGAGTGATTCCGACTGGAGCATGAGCGTGCGTTCACAGGGAAAAAGAGGATCTTGCTCCGAGACTTGGGTTATTTGGAATTCCTAAAAAGGCCAGCCTTCTTCATCACATTCACCAACACACCTACATGCATCCCACCATCCGGCCTGCTGGCCGGAGTTGCAAGGCCGCCAGAAGCGGCATCCAGCCGCCGCCTCCCACACGTGGGAACAACAGGAGGTGAAGAAACGGGCCTCGGGACCTCTGACCACAGAGGGCACGTACCTATTGCAAACGGCGCCTGCCCTGGAGCTTGCAAAACGTACAGGAAATCCTCCCCCACCTACACGGAGAGCCCCTTGCCAGCAAGATGAAGTGTAAACACTTTTCTATTAAATTAGCCAGGTGTTTAACACACACACACACACACACCATCCCGATCCAGTATTTTAAAAATCCTGGCTGCCTTTCAAGCCTCCTGGTGCGGCCACGTGCCTCTGCCTCTTTGTAAGGGGCAGGCTTGGCTTTTCTCTTTTCCTTTTTTTCTTTTTTAATGAATACAAACAATCTGCAAATTAGTCCACATCGGAACACGCAGCCGGGAGAAGGCAGCCAGAAATCCCATTGCCTTGATCTGGGCTTTTTTTTTTCTTTCCTGTCTTGACACTGGATTCGGACGGAGAGCAACAATGTAAATCTATGTATCCACAGAGCAATCGTTAACTCAGCCCTAAAGTTACTAACGATGCGATAGAGACCTATCCTCGAAAAATGAAGAAATACAAAGAACGGGAGGAAAGTGGGTAACATCTGGGCCTCCGAGTACAGATTAAATTTTTTTCTTAAATCCTCACCCAAAGATATTTTTTCATTGATGTTTAGAGAAAAGGGGAAAGACAGAGAAATATCGATGTGAGAGAGACACATCGATTGGTTGCCTCCTGCATGCAACCGTGGTAAGTGCCCTTGACCGGAATTGAACCCGAAACCCTTCGGTCCACTGGCTGACGTGCTATCCACTGAGGCACACTGTCCAGGGCTCAGCTTACAGAATAACACGGGTCCACGCATGTTGATGAGATCATCCACGTAAAAAAAAAAAAAGAAAGAAAATCAAACGGTCATCTACCCCAAAATGTATGAGAAAGCAAAGAGCAGCCCAGGAGCTGCGCTGGTGAAATGAAAGGCGACAGTTTAGGAACGGCCGACGCCCCATGGTGAGCCGGTTGGGACACCTTTTGAAGGGCCCCAGTCACATCTGTTTGCCTGCCTACTTTTTTTTTTTTTTTTTAATTAGGTTTTAGGATGTGTCGGTGTTGAACATTTTGAGATGGCTTGCATTCACGTTCTGGGCATATTTTGATTGATTTCAGAGAACAGAGATGAGGGAGAGAGATTGATGGAGAGACACCGTGAGGAGAGAGAATCGTGGATCGGCTGCCTCCTGCATGCCCCACCCTGAGGATGCAGCCCGCACCCCTGGCGTGTGCCCTGACCGGGAATCCAATGATGACTTCTTGGTTTCTAAGTCGACACTCAATCACTGAGCCATACCAGCCGGGGGTGGGAGTGCGAGTGACTTCACCAATTTTATGTTTTATGTTACGTTTTTCCTTCTTTCACGCGTGTTCTCTGCACGGGGGCAGGAAGCATGCTTTCTTCAGTGACTCACGCCACGTGCTCCCCGGCTGGCTCCTCCGGGGTAGGGACACCGGAGTCCTACTTGGTTCTTTCTTTC